CCGCGGTTAGTGCGAAAAACAAGTGGGCACACAGATGTTTCACAGATGTTTGTGAGGTGAGCACGCTCACAAATAGTGCTCACCGACGTGTCCTCTTCCCCTCCTTGGACGTGCAAAGTTAATTTGCGAAAACACGAGGGGGAGGGACCCGTCGGTTAGCTGACTTGAACAGAAATTGTTTGAATAGAAATGCGGATTTTGAAAACCGGGTAGCGAGGCGCTTTATTACAATTTCGAACATGCCGCCCGCCTTGTCAGGTACGCTGACGAAACCGGAATTACGCAACGCGAGCGGCTTCTCGCGCGCGAGTTGATGGTCGTGGATCACGCTGTGCAGCGCCCCGCGCTGCTCGCCCACCACGTGGTGTGGCTGTTACTGCAGGGACTGCCACTGGGCGTCTCGCGTTGTAAACAGTAGAGTGACAATTCTGAGATAATGCAACGCATCGAGCACCGTACGATGCACGTACGAAGTGACGAGCCACTTCTCGCCCAATTGATTAGTCACAGGTAAGTGGGTTCAGAGGTTGAGGTCGCGGCGACGTGATTGCGTGAGCGACCGCGTCCCCGGCGTTATTCCGGTTCTGCTTCCAGTGTTGCTCCCGGGAGCAGAACAATTTTGACAACAGGCCGGGTCAGCGTTGTGGATGCTGTTCGGACAGTCACGACCCGCACTTCTCTGTCGTCTCCCGTGTGGGTTGCGATCACTCTGGCAAGTGGCCACTTGCTCGAAGGTGTTAGCTCGTCTCGGATGAGGCACAGGTCGCCGATCTTCGGGGCGCCGCTTCTTCTCCACTATTTGGACCGCGCGGTAAGCGTTTGCAGGTACTCGCGCGCCCACCGGTCCCAAAAGTGATCGCGCATCTGTTGCAGGGCCTGCCATCTCGAGAGGCGTGATGTCGGCTGCTCGGACAACGACGGCTCGTGCACTGCATTCAGGGCCGTCCCGATGAGGAAATGGCTCGGGGTGAGCGCCGTCAAGTCATCGGGGTCGTCGGAGAGAGCCTGCAAGGGTCTAGAATTAAGAACGGCTTCTACCTGTGTTAAGAAAGTGCTCATTTCTTCGAAGGTCAAGGTGGTGTCTCCGATCACCCTGCGCAGGTGGTGCTTCACCGACTTGACGGCGGCTTCCCAGATGCCGCTAAAGTGCGGTGCTGCTGGCGGATTGAATCGCCACTCGATGCCGTCGTTGGCGAGGATGCCGGTCACGTGCTGATCGGTGGTGGCCGCCCTGAAGAGGGCGCGAAGCTTTGCATCCGCTCCCACAAAATTCGTTCCCCGGTCACTGATGAGCGTACGGCAGAGGCCTCTGCAAGAGATGAATCGTCGCAGTGCGGCCAAGAATGCGTCCGCGCTATAGTCAGAGACTACTTCAAGGTGGACCGCTCTGCTGCAAAGGCACACAAAAATGGCGAGGAACGCCTTGTGTGCTTTATGGCCTCGTCCTTTGGCTGTACGGATCCACACTGGTCCGGCGTAGGACACTCCGGTGACAGTGAACGGTCGCGTCGGGGTGACACGAGGTTGCGGCAAGCTGGCCATCATAGGTTGTGGTGATGCCGCCCGCCATCTCACACAAGTCGCACCGATGTAAGTGCCGCCTCACAAGCATTCTACCTCCGGGGACCCAAAACTGCTGACGCAAAAGCCCGAGCGTGAGCTGCACCCCTCCGTGCAGCGTTCTGCGGTGGCAAGCAGCAATGTTGAGGGCTGTGAGGTGCGATTCCCTGGGCAGGATCATGGGATGGCGTTGATCGTGACTGAGCAAAGCGTGTTTCAGACGCCCTCCCACCCTCAAGATGCCCTCAGTGTCGCGAGTCGGGTTCAGCCGGACGAGCGGGCTGCGCCCCGACACCGCTTGACCATTGGCGACTGCGCGCGTCTCCGGAGCGAACCAGGTCGCTTGCGTTACTCGGATCCACGTTCTATGTGCCTCCTCCAACTCGCTCGCAGTCAAGGGACCTAAAGCAAGGGCGGCACTTCGAGAGCGAAGCGCTCTCAACCACCTTTGGCACCACGCAGTGACTCGTAAGAATGAGTGCAGTGTCGAGAACCTCATGAGAACTTCGCTCTCGGGGTGGTCTGTTCTCGCAGAGTGCACTCTCGCGCGCTGCTCCGGAAGATCGCCGTCGTGGTCGTCGATAGGTTCCTCGCAGCTCTCTGGGGCGTCGCTTGTCAACCATGGCGGCCCGTGCCACCACAACTTGTGATTGAGTAGTTCCCTTGGCGAAATGCCGCGTGACGCGCAGTCTGCTGGATTATCTGCTCCAGGAAGGTGTCTCCATCGCGCTTGTGGGACCGACTGTTGGATGTGGGCCACTCGGTTCACCACAAAGGTCTTCCACTTTGACGGGTGACCTTTGATCCATGCCAAGGCCACGGTGGAATCCGACCACAAGACTGTGTGGGCGTCCATCAAGCCAGTGACCGACTTAACATGCTTGACCAGTCGGGCCAGGAGGGTCGCTGCACAGAGTTCCAGTCGTGGCAGGGACACCGGGTGAAGGGGTGCCACCTTGGACTTGGCAGTCACCAGTGACACCCAGCACTGCCCATCGGGCTCCGTGGTTCGCAGGTACACCACTGCAGTGTATGCTCGCTCCGAGGCGTCGGCGAAACCATGGATCTCCACCTCGCTGGTCGGTTGTCCAATATGCATCCATCTTGGGACCCGGATCCCGTCCAAGACGGGAAACTCCTCTCGTAGGCGTCGCCACGCCCGCTCGTCTGCCGCCGCAACTGGTTGATCCCAGTCTAAGTGTTGCAGCCAGGCCGACTGGATAAGGATTTTGGCACCGATGATAACCGGTGCCAACCACCCCAATGGGTCGAACAGTCGCGCTGTTTCGGATAACACGGCTCGCTTGGTGACCCGCTGGATGTCCGCTGGTTGGCCGTGGAAGTCAAAGCTATCCGATCTTGGGTGCCACAGCAGGCCCAAGGTTGAGCAGCCGGTGTCGGCTTCCCATGCTAGGGAGCCGTGCGACTGCTTGTGCTCGTCTGGTATGTCCTCCAGTAACGCACTCTCGTTGGCTGCCTATTTCTTTAGAGGGAATCCGCCTCTTTCACAGAGAGTCGTCAGTTGGTTTTGGACCGCTCTGGCCTCCTCCAGGGTGGCTGCTCCTGTGAGTACGTCGTCGACGTATACGTCCCGTTGAAGCGCCGCGGCTCCCAGTGGGAAATGTGACCCATCGTCGTCAGCTAGCTGTCTCAAAGTGCGTATCGCCAAGAACGGTGCGCACGCGAGTCCGTAGGTCACAGTGTTTAATCGGAATTCTTCCAGGTTGGAAGTATCGGCTGGACGCCAGAGGATGCGCTGCAGATCGCGATCATCGGGGTGCACGAGGACTTGGCGGTACATCTTCTCGATGTCCGTCGCCAGTGCAAATTTGTGCATTCGTCAGCGCAATAAAACGTCAGGCAGGGCCGGCAGCAGATTGGGTCTCGTCAGCAGATTGTCATTCAGCGAATCTCCAGAAGGAAGCCGTGCCGAGCCATTGAACACGACCCTGATTTTAGTTGAGTCGCCAGATTGCTTCAACACCCCGTGGTGAGGTAAAGAACACAACCTCCTTGCTTGTGACGCATTGGCCACCTCCATGTGCCCTAGGTCCTCGTATTCCTTCATAAAGTCGCGGTACTTGGCCTCCAGGTCCCGATCGATCTTAAATCGCCGCTCCATACTCTGCAGCACGCGCGTCGCGGCTCGCCGCGTCTCGCCGAGCGGTGGCAGCGCAGGGGCCGTCGGCAGCCGCACCATATAGCGGCCGGTTGGCAGCCTTGAGTGCGTGCGAACAAAATGATCCTCGCACTGCCGTTCCGCCTCGGTGAGGGGGACCGATGGACACGGAAGCTCCTCTTGCTCCCAGAATTGTCGCACCATTGCCGTCAGCTCGTCCTCTACCGCGCACCGGAAGGACGAGGTCGTACAGTGCTCCCCCGACTCCCCGATGACTCCCGAGAGGATCCAACCTAAGAACGTCTTCTGGGCGATTGGAGCCGACGGACCGCCCTTCCGGAGGCCGTCCTCCACTATGACTGCCATGATGTCTGCCCCCAACAGCAACTCCACTGGATCCGCCGCGTGGAAGTCGGGGTCGGCAAGTGGAAGTTCCCGCACGTGGGGCCATGTCGAACGCGTGGCCCCGATGCGCGAGGTGCCCGCCGAAATTCGCGGCAGCACGAGCGCGGAGAGTTGTGTAGAGAACTTTTCTGTCCGGGAGAATACGCGCAACGCTACTCGACCCTTCGCGGTGCCCGTGCGCTTGCCTCCCACACCGTACACGGAGACTGCGGCCGCGGATCGCGGCAGTCGGAGACGCTGAGCAAGAGCCTCGCACACGATTGACACCTCGGATCCGGAGTCTATCAAGGCACGCACCGGGTGACGCTCACCGGACCGGTCAGCGACCTCAACGCGCGCGGTGGCCAAGAGCACGACCGCGCTCTCGCCCTAACAGGCATGCAACGCCGTAGAGGCGGCCGCCGGGACAACCGTCGTCGGGCCGCAAGCATCGTGGATCGTGCTGTGATGTCTTCCCCGACACGCCGCACAGGATTTTCTGGAGATGCACTCGGACAGGGGATGCCTTCCGAAGCAATTGGGGCAGAGTTTGTTTGCTTCGCCGAACTGCTTCTTCTCCAAGGGCTTCTTCTGTTGGAACTCCG